GGAAAAAGGTTATATAAGGTTGCAACCTTAAAATGTAGAATTAAGGTGCACCCCATGAATCCATCAAGAACGTTTCTTAATATTGAAAAATAATTGATCTTCTCAACATCGAGATGGAATATGAAAAAAAAAAATATCGAGTCTCAAAAATAGTATATCTTGCAAAACATTATCTAGACCATTCATTTTCAAGATTTTCATATGTTTATAGATCTACTTGATTTGAATTATTTTTTTAGTTTCAAATTTTATAATTAGAGATGAAAATAGATCTTGAGGCTATCCTACAAAAATTTTACACCAAAATTACATGATAAAATTTGGAGGTGCTCCTTAATTTAATTGTTTAAAGTTGCAACCTTGTACAAACCACACCTCTAAAAAAAGGACTAAATCGCAAAATCCTTGTTTTCGAACTAGCAGGTGCATTGCTCCTCTCTTTCTTTCTTTACTTGCCTCTCTCTCTTCTCTTGGTGGCTGTGAAACCTTATAGGATTTTTTTGTACGTTTCCAATTTTCTAAACTAGTAGTCTTAAGAATTTCAAAATATAGGTACGCAGCTAAATATGGACAAAAAAATACACATCAGAATAATTTATAATTGGCGTATATAAAACAGCAGGCAATGGCTTTATTCAAATTTCTAAACTTTTAAATATGCATATTCAGTTTCGCCAAACATACCCTAAAGAAACTCCTCATATCGATGGAGTTATGGATATTTCATTATCTGAAGGACATTCCCTATAAGAATTTGCTTTAGGTTGCATTAGGCTTCAATTTGCTCTCCGATACGGCAAATAAACATGCAATTGGTTATATTGATATTTAGGGGATTGGAGCTAATCTGTAAATTTTTAACTCTATTGGTTCTGAATTTGATGGAAAGGTGGGTGGGGCTCATGCTGCTTGCAACAAACAATAACCTAGTTGGATCCTGGATTTGATCTTTAATCTAGTGTCGACCCATGATTAGAGATATGATCAAAAGAAAGTTGAGTAGTTGTTCTGACTGGGACATTTTAGCTTAGAATCTTCATCTAAAACACCCCTAAGAACACACATCATCAATATTTCAATTCCTTCGAAACCACTATCAATTACCATTTGATGACCCTCAAAATTTAAACATGATGCTTTTACGGTTTGCTTTATTATCCAGCTAATTTCCGTCTTAATCCGACATTGTTTGTTGAGGGTTACTTCGTAAATCAACCCTTTTTTAGACCATCACTGCATGAATAACTAATATTATCTCCAAAGTTTGAAACCCCGTACTCATTCAAGATGAAGGTGAGTGAAAATATCGACTATGTAAACAAAATGTTTGTTATTTTTAAGGACCTTTTCATTGGAGGGCACAGATTCCCTTGCGCATGCATGGCTCCACCATCTTGGACTCTTTTTTTTTTTTGACAAATATTATCAACTCTTATTAAGTAAAAAAGGTTATTATCCAAAAGAAATTATATCATCAGAAATCAGAAATAGAAAGAGAAGACAAAGAAACACCATCTTGAACATTTCTCTACCCTCATGGAGGATAGCCACAATTGTATTTATGTTGGACGTTGACCTTGAAGTTCAGGAGACATGTTCTTACAATTAGCGCAAAAGGAAGAATACATGAATGCAAGCCCAACTAAAGATTTCAAGAAAAAATGTATAAGAAGAATAATAATTAAAATATAAAGGAACCAAGCTCCACACCCCAAGAGTTTAAACCATGAGCACCATAATGTTTCACATGTAGCCAGTCCGGTCAGTTCAAATATCATTGTCTATGGAGTCAAAACCCATAAAAGCCATGCAAGGTGGAATGGGTGCAAAAGGTTTGAGTTGTATATATAGTCGCAATTGCTTGCTGACTATAACAAAGGATGGTGGCTGATTTGGGTGGGAATGGTCATATTATAAGACCTTTTTTGAAGATTTTAAAAAATTATAGTTAGAGAGATGTACATATACATGAGAAACAATACCTATTTTGATATATTAAGTGTAAAAACATATAGATTGTATATAGAGATGATTTATAAGCTTATATATTTAGATATATTAAGTGTAAAAAACATATAGATTGTATGTAGAGATGATTTATAAGCTTATATATTTTTTGTGCCCAATATGACGTGAAATGTTGTATGTCTCTCTACTTATTAGAACGAACTTTGAAGTTCATTTTTTATTCTTGAACATGTCAATCAAGAAGCATAGTCCAGATTTACGCTTGAGGACTCTTGGTTGATTAGCACAACATCTTTATTATTGATGCAAATGAAAATGATGATAATAACGTTAAATCTAGTTATCTCGATCGTGTAATGGTTGTTGATGCATATGCTTGGCACTTAAAGCTAGGGCACATTGGTCAAAAACAATAGAAATAGATTAATTAAGAAAGGTCTTATTCCTAACGTAAATAGAGTAGTATTCCACAATTATTAGTGTTCTTTGTTTGGAAAAATGACTAGAAAACCATTTAGTAAGAAGAAGAAGAGAGCTAGTGAATTATTAAATATGATCAACCCAGAAATTTATGGATCTCTCAATATGCTTGCCAAAGGATGTTGTACCTTATCACACCATTCATAGTTGCTCTAGGTTGGGTGTGACTACCTAATTCATCACAAGGTACAAGATTAAGAAAACTTTTAAATATTGTAGACACCTCGATCCCGATCAAAGAAACTCCAGGAAATCGAATACCCTAGAACAACCACCATAAGCCTTGAAACTACTCAGAATCCTGAAGATCAGTACCCCAGCACTCAAACAACCTCATACGGCCCGTCACAGAAGTTCGGCCTTGAACTCGAAACTCTTGAAAGACCCTAATTGGCCGGAAAAACCCCAAGACAAGAGAAAATCCGACGTGGACCATCCAAAAACGAACTCGATTAAGCATCGATAAAACGAGACTAACAGTATTGCCAATGCCAGGGTTGGGCTTGTCGGATTGTTGGTTGGACTCTGGTCACGCAAGAATCAACGGCAAAGATAGTATCGTTGAATGGGCGCAACCCAAGTCACAAAACTGACACCTCAACTAACATCTCTGAAGGCGGAAGTGAAAAGGTGATCATTGCCTCAAACAAGGGCGTCAGTGTCGGCAACGCATGTACCAATAGCGTTGCTTCCTGATTGGCTCCAATTGCTGCCAATCACTCGACATTGGAATGCACAAATTAAACCGAAAGGTAACTATCATTGAATCAACACGAGTGTTAGCATCATCGGACAAAGGCATCAGTAATGGCTACTCCTTATTGGCTGAAATCACCGCCAATGTCAGATCTCGGTATGGCCGGAACTCCTTTAATGATGGTGGTAGTGGCATTGACTACAAGGACACTAGCTTTGTGGCCAGTTTTGAGCAAGCATATGCTAATAATGACGCCAACGATGCCAGTGGTGTAGTTAGCCATCTGACATGCCACCGCCCACAATCACATCGACCTTAAACCAAGGGGTTGCATCTTACATAATCACGACGGAGCAACGACATTGTCACCATTGTCATTTTCAAATATTTTAATCGGGGCGAAAGCATAACAATGGTTGTAGTAGCATTAACAAGGCCACCAATGGCGTTGGCATTGAGCGGCTCAGATTTGATCCCATATTCTAGATGGTGATTAAGGTGGACAAATGTTTATAAATATCGGTCGAATCTCCTCCGTATTGAATTCTAAACTTTATGCCTAGATTTTGCTGCACTGAAACCGTACTCTACCAAACCCCATACTAACCCTAGACCTGTAAGCTCAAACTTCAACCTAGTATGCCCAAATACCTAAAACTTCACATCTCGGACTTTCCAAATTCATTAACCTACATTTACCTCTCTCGGCGGACCCCAAAGGACTCAGTGAAAGTCGCTCACTCATAAAAATCCTGAATCGACACCGACTTCAGGTGCAGGGCTTGGGCGTCTTGTTTACTTTATTTCATTTTCTACTATTTTTAAACTTTTGAAATCTCTCCCCCTTTTCTCATAACCCCTATTTCATAACTTCTCGCGATCTTCTGGTTTAATTGCATTAGGAGCTAGCATTGTTGACGATCCGAGTAGCGCCAAATTCTTCCCCCCACAAATTGTATCCCCTTCTCTCGTCCCTTTGCTATGTGCTCTTTCTTTTGGTTTAGCCTTGCCTCATTGTGCCTCTGTTTTTGTTTCGACATCCGGGGGATCTTTCTTTAATGAGGTCAGTTTTAAATATTATAATAAAAATTTATATGGTTATATTATTTAAATATTATATAAATAAATCATATATTATATTATATATTATATATAATCTAAAATAGATATATATTATAAAGAATAGAAATATAATATAATACTATATATTATATATATAATATTATATATTATATATATAATATTTAATATTATATTATACTAATAATATTAATATTATATATTATATTATATTATATTATTTATATATTATATATTTATAAAATATTATATAATATATATAATGTTGTCAATAGTGAACCTGAGAAATGCTTCCTCATGATTGAGGTGTGGTTTTGTTTTTCATGTAAAGTGGACCAGGTAAAATACTTTACAAACATCTGTAAGGCAATTTACTTTAAATATATTTATCGAAAAATATTTTCACACCAACCAAAGGTGCCCGTAAGAATCAATGCGTGTAATACATGGGTAAAAAAAAAAATCAATGTGTGATACATTTTTGTTATCTGGAGTCGCAAGGTGTGGCAAGGACTCAAGTTTTGGATGAAATTCATCGTCGAATAAAGTTCGGCGCCCAAGTCCAATAGCCAACAATTCATGACACACGGTCACTGAGCCCAAGGCCATTTTCGTCATTATCTTCAAATTACGCCTGAAAATTGAAATAGTTCACAAAGAAAAAGTGAATCAGGCTGCCCGCGCTGCTGCCTGCTGCAGTCGTCCATCAATCCATCGCCACGAAAATTCTGACAGCTAAACAATTTGTAACCCCTCTCACTCGCTTCATTTCTCTCTCTCTCTCTCTCTCTTTCTCTATTCTTTCTCTAACTTTCTATATATCTTCTTCTTTCTCTTCTCTCTCTATTCGTATGTACCTTCCTAGACCGCACCGCAGTTCTCTGCTCTTAACCCCTGCAACTAGGGGTTCGTAGGATTAATGTTTCAAACCATTCGAGAAACCTTTATAAGATGATAATCTACTGCAAAATCTGCAAGTGCTTTTTATTCAAACTTTTTCTCTTATTACTGTTTGTTTCAGTTATCCTTATTGATGAACGACACCTTGAATTGACTAGATTGTTGAATTCACCTCTCAGGTTAGGGTTTCAAGAATGTTGGAATCGGCACCGGCCTCCTTTGGCTGTTTGGCCATTTGTAGTCACAGTTATGAGGTAGTGTTATGTTGATTACGTTTTCTAGGATTGAAGCTTATAGTATGCGGATTATGTGAGTTCTGTCCTGTCTGCTGGATTTGATTCTTTTGTTGTGTTATTTTTTGATTGATGAGTTATTCATTCCGTGTTATTTATTTGTCAGTATTTCATTATTGTGTTTTGTTTTGAGAATCAGTGTTTGAGATACAAAACAAATTGGTAGAATAGATACGATACAAACTATGCTGTAACAACAAATCATGAAGTCGTGCAACATGAAGCTGGGTTTTCCTAGTAAGAGGACTTCAAACACAAATTTACGGCCAGTTTCAATGGACCACTATACCGGATTTGTGCGATTACCTTCCTCCACTTGTTTCTCTTTTCTGATGTTTTGTTTTGTTTTCACTTTTCATTATGTGGCACATGCACTTAATATGCTCACTTAAATGGCACTGTGCTCCCATTTGTAGATACAGATTTGGATGTATCTTTTTGCAAATGATTACCTTTACAAATTTATGTAACTTACTGGTAGGTCTACTCTGAGATTGTTATATAATGCTCAAAACAAACTTTAGAATTAAAAACCATTTCCAAGATTGTAGTTTATTTGGTGGTTCAAATTGCATGTTATATTCATTATCGTGACTTGTGAGGCACCTGAAAACTCATTGGGAGTTTAAATTGTAAGAATAATTTTATATATGTTTCCATTGCTTTTTTAGTTGACATGGCTGTTTTCACAACTGGTAGAGGGTTAGACGCTGCAGGAAATCGGGAAATCGGAAAATCAAGAAAATTAGGACTGGATCTTTCCTGTGAAGCTTGTGCTCTATCATGCTTACAAATCAAAAGGAACTACAATCTTTTCTGATTATTTATTAACCATGGCCTTTTGGGGCTGTCTATGATTTTTTGTTATTTGTAATTGGACTCTCTGTTCACTTGTCTTGAGTTCTTTTGATCATTACTTGTTTTCAAATTTAATAGGCTTCAATATCCATTAAGATGTTTATTGTATTGTGTCTTTTGTTGCTTTTGCTCATGAACGAGGATGGCTCCAAGTATTGGTTCACTGATCATTATTTTGTTGCTTATGTTTTAGGGGTATGCGGCAGCATGTCAGTTTAGCTCTTTGAGGACCTCTTCTCTGGCTTGCTCTGGTTCCTCTTGTTGTTTTTCTCTTTTTTGCTCTTCCCATTCCCAAATGTTAAAGTTAGAATTATGCTCCATCAGTCTCAGAGCGAGTCGTTCCTCATCCATGTCAAGGAGGGTTTCTTGTTTGAGAATGCCATTAGCTACTTCAATGTTGTGGAGCAAAGATTTTCGTGCTTGTGGGAACAAAATGGCACACTTTGGGAGATTCCGTGCACATGCTCAAATTGAATTTGCAAATGCTGTCGATGTCATTAATGATCTAGGATTTGATACTTTGACCTTCTTAGCAGTGACTGTTATGGTTGTTCCTGCTTTCAAGGTCATCAGAGGTAGCCCTGTAAGTTTTCTAAGTGCCAGTCTTTTGCCTTTCATACGGACTATTGTTATTTTAATAATATGTTGTTTCCCTTTCTTATTTAAGCTGTGGTAGTGCGATTCTTTTGGATTAGATGGGTCATAAACGGAATTGTTTTGTGTCTAAAATCTCGGTATCAATTGCATATGAGCCTACATATAAATTTAGTGAGATTTGCTAGATAGGGTAACTACCCTTTGCCTTTTTCTTTGAAAGGGTCAATCTTTCATCTGTTTTGCAGCTTAACTCCCAAATATATTCAAACAAAGATCTGATTTACTTCTATTTTTGGTTTGTTTCTTATAGTTTAAGTGTGAATGGAATTTGGACTTTTCGGCAATTAAAGAACATGATGTCTATTTTGCTTCTAGTTTGAAGGTGATGGAGTATGCATGTCCTCATATTGTGCTCGATTTCATAATTCCTATTCATTGCTGAACTTAAATTGAAGGAGGGAATTTTTTCATCTTGATTGGTTATTTTCCAAAGCTACGCTCAGGTCATGCCAAGTTATAAGTTGAAAGTTGTCAAAGTATAGATTGCATACATTTATTTTGCTAGAGATCTAGCAAATAAAATAAAATCTAAAGAATTTTAAATTTTGTAAAGTCAATCTTGTAGCTCCCCTCTTTTCAATTTGCTTTACCAATTTTAAAGGCTATATTATTGCATATTTTCTATGGGTGGGGTCTTATGCTCTATTAGTGGGTGATTTTTAAAAGTTAATCCAATATTCACTACAAAGCAACAATGATTGGTCCTTCTAGGACATTCCATATGAAGTGTAAGATAGTGTTTCTCATCCTTGCACCTATTTGTATTTTGTCTCTGTATGGCAATTAAATGACAAGTAATGCCGTCCGCCATAATTTTGTAAATGGGTTGTAGAGCTCTAATTGGAGTTGTATGGTCCATAGGTATGTCTATGGTCTCATTAATCCTTTTCATACTTAAGTCAGTAAGAAAGAAGGATGATTGTAGGGAATTGACTGAAAAACTTTAAAGAAGAATTTGTAAATTGGCTTTGGGTGTCTTTTGGGTATACAATGTTTCTTGTGACACAATGTTAAACAGGTGAAAGTATTTTGGTAATGAAAAAATTGGTCTCAAGGGTATCTTTTGGAAATTTTCAAGTTTTATAATGTTCTTTTGGTTCCCAAAAAAGATTCATTCTAGATTTGTTTATGCCACTTGAAGTCTCAAATAAATGATACCTATAAAGATCAACCGCATGAGTAAAACTGGAAGGTTGTAAATATCATACTTTTATAGATTATTTATTTATTATGATAACTATTTTCAGAAGAGCTATTTGAGAATCAGTCATATGTTTGGTTTTCTATTATGGCTTCCTTTGAAGGGTCCTTGTATAGCTTCCCCATAAGGTGCAATCCTATCAGTAACTTGTTCCCATTGTTTCAATGTCTTTTTTCGCATTCCCATCCTTCAGCAAAAGGAGGGTCGAGGCCAACAAGCCCAGTGGCTTAGATCTCAACATTGATAGAGATGTACTCCTCAAGAAAGTGACTTGAGTGTCATCGAGTTTGAGGGATTACAACATATGTGCCACTTGGGGGTCATGGGCACTTTGAATGCAAAGATGTGTGAGGCTTCCCTGCTGTGCGGTTAATGTGATGCTATCAATGCCCTTGGATAGATTAGAGACATCTATCTGATTTCAATAATACAGGATTTTTTTAAGGAAAATTGTCTCATGAGGGCTGGACCTCATAACTATATATGCGGTCCAAAAAGTGTAAAGCATCCATCTTAAAGACGGATGCAAGTAGGTGTTCCATCTAAAAACAATGGAAACTAACGGTCCAAATGTTTTCTTACTAGAATTATTATTTCTAGTTTTTAAAATTTACTTATTTTTTCATATTCATGATTTCCATGTTAGAGATTACATGTCCTTAAAATTCCAAAAATCCATCTAAAAAATAGATTGATTAATAGGCCTGCATTTCTACATATGCAGGCTTGGCCGCATAAAAACTGGGTCCATTTTTTAATGGGCTTCATTTATTTTATATATTATCATTCTCATAATGCTCGACTGAAAAACTCATATCTAGTTAGATCAGGACCATAGTTTCTTCTTCAGAGCATGACATCAAGAGAGTAAATTGTCGCTTACTATTTTTTATCTTTATTTTTACTTACAAAAAGACTTTTTTCTTGTGAAAATATAGTTTGACCAGTTTCACTTGTTACATGTTTAGATATTTAGGATATTTGCATTTTGGGCTGCTTTCTGATTTAAACTTTTTAGGAACAACTTAAAACTGAAGTTTATGAGTTATGTATAAGTACATTAGACTTCTTCATGATCCGTGCAAAAAACGTTCGCTTTTATCTTTAATTGTGTCACGAATATTATTTCAATATCTGTGGGTTTTATTAGATTCTGTTTGATCACTCAATGATTGCATCGTGATCTGTTTTTATTGGAAATGGTTATAGCATTTGTTTTTGTTGCAGATACTGGGATTCTTTTTTGCTGGAGTTGTTCTAAACCAATTTGGCTTGATTAGAAACCTCACAGATGTTAAAATTTTGTCAGAATGGGGTATTCTTTTCTTGGTATGTTGTTATCTTCTTTTTATTTTGTACTGTTTTCATGTTGAGGTTTTGTGGATTTGTTATCTTCATTACAGCAGTCGATATGTAGGTTCACCATTGCCTTTTGTATGAAAATTGTGGATTGACTTTGCTAATGATTAATGGCATAATTGCCTAATAACGAGTTCAATCAATAAAAGAATTACCCCATGAGATGTTAAATAATGACTGCCTGTTATGGAGTGGATCATGAAATATCTCAATCTGGTTGAATTAGTTGATACAGGTTACTAGGAGGTTTGAAAAATGATGGTTTCAAAGTTGAATTGTCTTTTCCTCACCTTGAGGGGTATCTCTTTCAGATGGTAGTGGAATAACACCTGTTTGTTTGTGGCACTCGCAATACTTGACTAATGTGCCCATGGATCCTGGCTTTATGTTTAATGTTTATTTTATCCTTTTCTGCATAAATGCTGAAATTCCATGTAATTATCATTGCGATTATTTGGGAGTAGTTTGTCAAAAAATGTAAGCTGTATAACGTGGTACTTGGATCTTGATTTGTATGTCTTTATTGATATTGATTGATTGATTGCTACTTTTGTCAGCTATTTGAAATGGGCTTGGAGCTTTCTCTGGCACGATTAAAAGCTCTTGCGAAGTTTGCATTTGGGATGGGTTTAACTCAGGTTTGTCTTCATTTATGCATAGTTCAGTCTTTGTTGTTATGTACAACAACATACCAAGTATAAGAATATTTTCAGTATTTGTCTTAGCTTGTATTATTAATTGATTGTTAGACTGTGAATTTCTCAATATGCCCTGTTCTTGAAATATATTTTGAAGGCCTTCTGTTTACCTATTTGTTCTTGATAGTATGCAAGCACCATTTTTAGGTCTTGCAAAGATGCATTGCCTTTGAAGGGCATATATGCTTTTCTCATTCAAATCAGATTGTTCCTATTGATCCCTGTAGATGGGAATATGAAAAAAAAAAAATCTAGAAAACAAAAACAATGAAAAACAAAACGCTTGTAAATGTGGACACATATTCTAACCAACACATGGCAACAGTTTCCACTTTTCATCCATTTCACAGCATTTGGAAGCTCAAATAATTCATGTTCCAATGGAACTGGTGATGGAAGTACTTTTCATATTTATTTTGTTCTCCATGAAAGTGTGCTTTGGCCCTATGTAGTGAGTCCTTTGTTGAACGACACAAAAACTTCCATGTGAGTGTCCTATAGAAGAATTCTATTCTCTTGAGACTTTAAATGGATAAAGCCCAAAAGTTATTAAAATTTGTCTGTTCTTTTTGCATACACCAGTTTTCTTTTTAAAAAAAATAATAATAATAAAAAAAAAGGAGAAAAGGAAAAAGAAAAACTAGATTAATATTGGCATAGAAAGGAATTTAGCTTGTGGCATGGTCTTCACCTTTGTGGTTGTAATGTTCTATATGGCAATCTTGATGATAGGCAGAAACATATCAAATTGGAGTAAGCTCCTTCCTTTTCTTTTTTTCCTTTTTTGCAAGTAGCAACATCGTGAAGGTTTTCTCCCCAAGCTCTCTTTTAGCTATTTTCATTTTCTTTTTTTCTTTTTTTATTTCTGTGAAGACTGCCCGAAACATTACCTTCAATTTTCTCTCTAGTTACAGCACGAGGTATCACCTTCTCCAGTATTGAATAGATTCAATATCGATTTAGCATCTTTGTTAATGTTAATGATCAGAAAACCTTGTAGTTTTAGTACCAAGTAATAAAAGAATACAAGATGGTTATTTTTCACATGAATTTGGAGATCTGAATTTGCTGATAGGACTGCTAAACGCTTCCTGTTTTTATGAAGGTTGTGCTGTCTACCCTTGCTTTTACAGCATTCGAGCTTCCTCCTAATGGAGCTATGGGAACAAAAATTTTGGAGTTCCTTTTCCACTCAAGACCTGATTTGGTGAGTATTATCCACCTTAAATATACACCTCAGTGCAAAATTATTGATATTTATGGCGCATTTGATGTACTATATTCTAACAAGGAAAATTGTTTCATGAGTCAGTGGGCGCAAGAGTCTGCTGGCTTACAAACGTCCATCTTTAGGATGGACATTATCTGAAGTGTATTGTCCATAAATAAGGTATGGACAGTGCATAAAAAATTACTAAAAATTTATATTTTTAATTTTAAAATTTTATTTTTCTTTTCATAGTTATGATCATTTTGGCCTGGATGATGAATCTACAAAAAAAAGTTTAGAAGTTTATATGAACCCTTGTGGATGAAAGGTTGTTTTTGTTCTTTGTCATGGATAAGGAAACACCCAGGCAAAAGAAACAAGGAAGGTTTATGAGGTTGTGACTTTCTTTGGAAAGGAAACAGATTATAAAGGTTATGAAACAATTAGGGAGTTTATACCGAAGAAATATCTTGTAACTAATGAACAGATTATGCAGGCGTGCGAAATTGAGAATTGTTGACAGATTGCTTGATGTGGAGTCCAAATTATATATAGATATTTGGTCCCTAAAATGATTTATCATGGAATATCCTATTTTGGAATACACATATCGATCCGTCCCTCCATCTTTGGAAAAAGATTTGATGGTTCCAGAGGACTATATGGTATATTTGGTCCCACACTCAAATAATTATGCCTCAAACTCTCAAGTCATATTTGTTGATCCAAGGTTATCAAATGCGGAATGCGGACTCAATGCGGGGGACATCACTTCCAATGTGGGCAATAATTTAAAAAAATTAAAAGTATACGAATACAAGGAATAACATGAATATGTGATTTATGGAATAATAGGAATTAAATGCTATTAGGCATTTTAATTTAGTATTTGTTTCCAATATCCCGTCTGGGTCCTTGATGGCCCGAAAAGTATAACAGAGACATTTTTTATCTCTATTGTCTAATGCATTTAACATATAAAACAAATTGATCCATCATAGTCATTAAATTAAATAAAACACAAGAAGAATATGCATTATACCAAGTTAACCAACCAAGCACTTAAATAGTGAAATAGCATCTAGCAGCTAAGTACATTGTTGCACATAGCCGAAACTCAACGTGCAAAATACTAAAGAGTCTACCAAAAGAAATTATGATTACTAAGTTTCAATCTCCTTGCCATTACTATGTTTCAATCTTCTTGCCCCTTGAAACCCTTGAATATTTGATAAATCTTTGACTGAATCCTTCAAAATATGGCACAAATCAAACTCAAATAATCATCCAAAGATTCTAAAACCTTTATTGAATTCTTCAAAATTGGAAAAAAAAAAAAAAAAACCCAAAGATTCTAGAAACTTTGTCACATTCTTCAAAATAGAAAAGAGAAATTTGTCACTTTAATCTCCTTGGAACCATAAAACTGGTTTTAAGGGGCTTTATAGGGGGTATATACCCTCCCCCAACAACCCCCAACCCCTGCCTTTTCTGAGGGGAAAATGACCATACTGGCCATGCTTACAGGCATTATTTCCTCCCACAAGCAGGGCAGCGCATATGCAGGTGATGTGCTGCCTATGCAGGCCTAGCCCAGATAGGTGGGCATATGCAGTGCAGCCAAGGGCGGGTTTGATGCGGCTGCATTAAGTTGTATGCAGCATCATTTGATATTTATAATTCATCTCTAAGATCATTTAATAAAAATGATTTGGAGCTTAAAAATTGTTTATCTATCCTACAAGATTGAGTTTGGATAGTCCACTTGATGGATGATCAAATCTATGATTTTCAGGGCCCAAAGACTTTTTTCTTTTCCTTTTAAAAAAAAATGACCACAAGGTGAATCACAGATGATATTAAAAATGACAGTTCATAAAAACCCCCTAACTTCGTATTTTTCGAGTGCCAAATGTATTGTTTGGTCCCACTAGGCCACCTTATATGTACCCTATATTTTTGTTTATTTATTTGTAAATATGAAAGGTTTTTGAGTGAGCAATTTTTCTGCTTATATTCTGAATATTGCAAACTGATCTATGCCAGCATTATCCCTCCAAATATGATCATTTTTTTGAGATCCCTTACCCCTTCACATTCCTCGCTGTCTTAGATGCCTAAATAGAACCTTCTTAGGTATTTTCTTTTTTATCCTTTTGTATTACTTATATTCATGTATGCAAAATTGTTGCATTTTCATGTTTGGATGGAATGCAGGTAAATATAAGAAGTACTGATGAGGCAATAGTTATTGGGGCAGCTCTCTCCTTGTCATCCTCAGCTTTTGTCCTACAGGTAAGTGCATAGGTTCTAAATATGACTATTAGTGGGTTTTCTTTGGCGGCTTTTAATTTTGATTTAGTTTATGTTAGAATACTCTGGACATTTGATGCAATATGTTCTCATTGGAGTTGGTTTGCCACATTGGGTTTGAGCTTAGGTTGATATGCATGTCTATTTTGTTATTTCAGAAAGCTAAAATTTTGTTATTCAATTAAATCCAGTAGGGAAGCTAATTTCAATCAAATTTTAATTGTTCACTTTTTTCCTACAGAAATCAGCATCACCTTTTGGTTTTTGGTACTGCCATTTTGAGAAGCTATGCCCTTTTTCATGTGGTCAACACCTCAATTTTATTCGTCAGTGTTCAAAATAAAACAAATATATACGTTTTGTGAAATTTATTGTTTCTGTTTCTATTTTTATTTCATATTGGAGAATGAGATACCCTTTGTGCCCAGTTATTAGTTCTCATGAAATCAATTGAGCAGTTATCTTCTCCTTCTTGAATCAATGTCTGTAGCTTTGGCGTTCACTTTTTGACACTAGATGAATAGAGAGATTTTTTATATGGTTTTAATATCGTAGGTTATTTAGCAATCTTTCTCCATGGCTCTAGGAAACACTTACTCCAGTAGCTTGCCATATATTTTAAGATATGCCGCCATTATTTTTTTTAACTGCTTCTGAAAACTAATCTCTATCATCTATGGCTCATCACACTAACAATATCTATAGCTGGGGGATTCACAGTGCTGTATTAAGTGAAGAAACAGAGATGGTTTCATACATTGTTTTGATATCATTAACCATTCTTGATTCGATGCCTTTAACTGCATTAATTTAATGGATAGATATCTTCCTTGCATCGTTTTAATATCTTTGGTGTTCATCAGTAGCACTAGCAAAGCAATCTATTATCTTGACACTAGAGAACACTTACCCAGTAGCTTGCCATATATTTTGAGCTATGCGACCAGCATTTTCTGAACTGTTCTTGAAATCTGATTTTTATCATTCTATGGCTCACCAAGCTATCATGTAGCTCCTTGCAGAGAAGGGTGAACTCCCCACAAGATTTGGTTCAGCAACTCTGGGAATTCTTCTGCTTCAGGTTCTTCTAATACTCTTAGCAGTTAATGTATAGATGATCTCTTGCTTTCTTGTTAGGCATGAATAATTCTATTACTAAATATCCAGAGATTATTTTAGGATCATTTGCACCAAGTTCCTTATCTACTTGATGTGAATTTGACCATAGAGGAATTTATTACTCTATTAATGAATGGCATATTTAACAGGACATTGCTGTTGTCCCTCTCTTGGTCATACTTCCTGTACTAGAGAGTCAGGTATGGCAAAACTCTGATCTTATTTACTTTCCTTGGTACGTGTGCGTGAGCATGTGGACTTGTGTGTGTGCACGTGTGTATACATGCACCATACCCACCTGGTTCCTTGCATGCGTGTGCTGTGTTTTACCATTATAAGAAAAAAAAATTTCACCATACGATGTACCACAACTGGCAAACACAAATGTGGCTCAAGCTCTCCCTTTCAAATGAGTTAACCTTGTGTTTTGTTAACTTGATACCTTTAATTATCATTTTTTTTGCTAATGTTTCGTTTGTTGATACTAACTATTTATCACTTTCCAATTTTCGAATAAAATCTCACCTTAACCTTCAGGCCACCAGTTGCCTATTTGAATTAGTTAAAAGCTGAACAGCTTAAACGTTCATTGATTTATTTCTATATGCAGAACCTTGTAGAAGAAAGTGTCTGGCCAATGCTGGCCACAGAAAGCCTGAAGGCTTTAGGTGGCCTAGGTTTACTTTCACTTGGGGGAAAGTTTCTTCTCCGACGAATCTTTGAGGTTGATAACAGTCCTTGAAACTACCTGCCCTTCCTCATCTTTCATGGAACTTTTCTGGTTCTTATGAACAGTTATACTGAAGGTATACATGTTGCAATGTAGGTTGTCGCAGAATCAAGGAGCTCTGAAGCTTTTGTTGCTCTTTGTTTGTTAACAGTGGCAGGAACGTCATTACTAACACAGACGTTGGGCTTCAGTGACACGGTGTGATCTTTGAACCTTTGCTACAATTTCAAGTTGACTTTCCATTATGTGAAGGCTTTTCAAGTGAGCCAATTTCTTATGATTATGTAGCTTGGGGCATTTCTTGCTGGAGCACTTTTAGCAGAAACAAACTTCCGGACACAGATTGAAGCTGATATACGACCTTTCAGAGGCTTACTTCTTGGGTTATTTTTTGTAGCTACAGGGACATCCATTGACATGGAGGTTAGTCTTATCTTTTATCTTTGTTTCTGTTGTTTTCTTATCAGAAAAGATTATGTTGTGTTGGATGATACTGCTCTTATAAATTGCTGATGATGGTAGAAGAAAACCTTCCTTTTAAACTTCATTATTGTGATTATGAAATGTAGAATTTCAGATTGCTGGTTTATACATTTATGTTTTATTTATATTAATGTTCAAGAATAGCTTCAGTTGAACCATCATGGTAAATATCTGGTTAAGCTATACACATGCAGACAGACTGCAATGCATGTGTATAAGAGTTTATATTTTTGTGTGTGTATGTATTCTAGGTGGGTCTTTAGTGACCATTACATAATCCATGCATAAAGAAATACACACATATACATCCACACATTATGCACAATGTCCAAGAACCATAATAGCAACAAACATATTTTTCACATAAACATTGATTAAGATGGAGGTGTGTCTGGTATCATCTTTTGTTTGCTTAGATTCCGTTTTATCGAAGGATGCTACTGATTTATATTCCTGGGGCATACATCAGTTGTGGTCAATGGTAAAATAATATTTTTATTTCAGTCCTATTTCTTGTGATTACAGAATCGAGAATGTCGGTTAGCTGAATTGTTTCTCTAATTCCGAGTGGGGTTAAATAGTTCATCTATCTACAGTATTTTTAAGAATCATTCAATCAAACTGTCATGATTAATATCTAGTTAAGAGATATGACAGCTACCATCATGATCAATATTCAGTAAAAATTGTGCACACTCACACAGACTTCGATGTCTGTATATGATTGTATTTTTGCATATGTGATCTAGGCGTGTCTTTTAGGATCAAATATGGAGTCCATGCATATAGAAAAAAGCACATACTCATCTGCACATATGCAAGAAGTCTAAGGGCCATAATATGCACAAACTTATTTTCCTCATAGACCTGAATCAACATTGTGGTGTGTATCTGTGGTCATCTTTTGTTTGCTTAGATTCTGTTGTATAGGAGGGTGTTACTGATTTATATATGCAAGAGTATACATCAGTTTTGGTTTACGGTTAAAAAAATATCTTTCTTCTTGTCTTAGTTCTTGTGATTACAAAATTGGGAATTTCAGGTTGCTGAATTATATGTCTACTTTCAAAAATTAGGGTTAAAAACAGATTCCATTTATCTATGGTAATGTCCAGAATTGTTTCAATTGAATCGTCATGATAAATATCGGGTGAAGAACGCGAGCACCACATGCAATGCAACATTTTTGTTGTAATATTTATGTGTCTATGTGTTACCAACTAGTTTTTGTGAGATTTATATGTGTCTGTATCTATTGGCACATGCATGATCAATAGATTGAAATTTACGCACCACATTGATACCTTAAAACACATTTTCCAAAGATCCTCAGATATCCTATTGTTAGTGGCTCAAGTGTGACTGTGCACAACACTCATGTGAGACATCGGGGGGTCGGTCAAAAAACCTCCTCCGTGCATAGTCTTGATAGGTTTGGGTTGAAAGATGAATCTGCCTATGGTTGTTGAGTATTTCCTGTTGTCATTCAAAGAAACCCAATGAGGTATTTCCTGTCTATGGTAGGAAGTTTTATATTGGGTTAATGTGAATCCTAAAGCTTATAAATGGTGATTAAAGAAAGAAAAGATGTAAAGACCTTTTACATGTGAAGATTAACATCAATATCAATATGAAGATGACAAAGTCCACCCTTCATCATACAAATTGACTAATGCTTGCTTTATACTTGAAAATAAAGCCCACCTGCATTGCATACTTTGCATTGGCATTATCTGAAAATTTTGGGTCTTAATGTTGTTTACCAAGTGCTCATATTAATGGTTCAGTAAGAATATCATGAGCCTCAATGCCTAATGATAATTTAGGCATATTCACTGTTGGTCTTTATGTGCCCATTAGTGATCAGGCATGGTAGTATGGTCATTGAGGCTTAGAGCATTTTTTGGTCCAGTTTTTTCCTGGTTTGATAATTTGATGCCCGGCTTCTCGTCAACATTT